TTGGCTCCTATGTTTTTGCTGTAAGAGTTCCCTAGGAGCTTAATGTTTCTGCCTCTGGAAATGTGCACTACTGCCTCATTTTAGGTGTCTTAAATCCTATCTTCCACCAAAACCCCAGAGTGATTCCTGAATTGGGTAAAGATAGGTATATTTTGCCACCTGAGTATTCAGCTCAATCTGGTAGGCACGTTCAGAGGTTGCTTACAGGACTGGGACTCATTCAAAATCCAGAGGGTGGAGGAGAAAATCCAGCCAACAGAGGTGGCACCCATCTTGAAGGTTTTCACTAACGAGCACTTGCCTCGTTCGTGGAAAATTCAGGTTCAATTCCCCATTTCTCTCTGTCAGGAGACAGAGCACTGAGAAAGGGGTCTTGCACCTCTCCAGAAAATTCTCTAAACCGGTGAGATATGAGATACTCTGATGTAGGGCTCCCTTAATTCCTGCTCCAGTCACTTTATTTGTCTGCAGTGAAGTGGGGAGAACTGAAACTGGTTTCCCTCATTCCAGGTTAGTGCTCTGGAATAAAAAAGTTATTAGGTGGGCAGCACCATCACCATGTATGTTAAATTAGATAATTGCTTAACTACATTTTGTACAGATATAATGTACCCTACTCGTTAGTGAAAAGCAGCATCAAATATAGTGTATGGGCTAATGTAGTTACAAATGATTGCCAAGCTTTTATCAACCTTTTTAGTTATTTTCCTTAAAAAAACAAAAAAAACCCCACACAAATGCAAACATGATTAAAATAGAATAATTTAAGTCAATGTTTCCTGCTTATTGATTAAAAAAGAAAATCAATCCACCCTGATTAGTTCACATTACCGCTCATAGTATACCATTATTCAGGTCCTCCTAAAAAAGAGGAAACAAGCATCAGCTATTTCTAATATAAACAGTTTTTTTAAAAGTCAAATTTTGTATTTAGAATCTGATAAGCAGGGTACAAAATAAAGGGCCATTTATTCTCTAAAGCAGGGGTCTCCAAACTACGGCCCGCGGGCCGGATGCGGCCCGTGGAGACCTTTTTGTCTACGGAAAAAAAATTACGGAAATTTACGTGTATCCTGCCAAGATCAGCCGCCGCTTACGTGGACGTTATGTTTTTACCGAATTAAAATAGAGGCACGCAGTAGTGCGTTATGTTTTCCAACCGATCATTACATTGCAAAACCTTATTCGCTGCTTACTTTTTCTACTTCCGTTCACAGTCAATGAGATATAACGCCATCTAGTGGCGGAGTTTTTAAATGGTTTGCTGCTGGTTCAAGACTTGATTATTTTGATCACAGTTTGCCAGTTGCGGTTGACTGTTGCGATGAGGAGGTGTTGGTGTCAATTAGCGTCTGATTTCGAAACATATTGCACTCTATTTTATTTACTGATAATTTCCTTCGCGTAACAAATCTAAAGCCAGAAATGTCTGCTATTTTGGCATCCAGGAAACAATTTCACCATTCACACTAATACAGGTGTTCATGTGTAGTGTATCAATGTGTTATTAAATAATAACTGAATAAAATAATATTAAATAAATAATTAAAAACAACATCCATGTTTTGATTGTTTTTTATTTGGACCTCAAGTGTGTAGTCGGCCCCCGAACTGCTGTTTGATAGTTAATGCGGCCCTCGGGCAGAAAAGTTTGGAGACCCCTGGTCTAGACCAATGTTTCCTCAATTTTTTTTTCTAGCTGCAGAGTATCTACAGGGTCCTGAAAACTTGGCAGAGACTTTGGAATATCATGACTTAAAAAAAATGCAATAGGTACCAAATAGACCAGTTTGGAATTCTGTCTCTCTCGTTCGTGTGTGTGTGTGTGTGTGTGCTGCTGTATTGTATTAATATATCCTCATGGAGTCCTTGGACCCATCACATGGAGCCTCAGGGCTCCACAGAGCACATTTTTAGAAATGCTGTCTGGTTTGTTAGATGAGTAAGAACCAAAGAGTTTGCCTGCTGTGTAAATACTGCAGTGACTCATGTCCCTGCAGAAAATCTAGAAATATAAAAATCAGTTTTCTAAGGTCTGTTCACTTCCTCCTCAAATCACACTTTTTGAATTCAGCTGAAGCAGGCATGGTAAGGGTGGTTTCTTCTTAGAGTGCTTGTCCATGTGCATTCTGATCAGGTATGTGCATAGTAGTTGAAAGGTTTTTTCTTTCCCTCCCCCAGAGGTGGGCAACTTTCGGTGGGGGGGAGGGGCTGCTCCAAGATCTTGGAAAGTGGTCAAGGGCTGCAGTTCCCTGTGGGTCTAGGATGAAGGTTGGGCACAGAAGGGTGCATGGAGTAAGGAACTAGAATGCAGGAGCGGTCTGAGAGGAAGTTTGGGCAAAAGAGGAGGCTGTGACCTGGGCCAGGGATAGGTGTGTAGGATCAGGAAGGGGACATGGTTGCAGGAGAATTCTGGCTTTGAGGAGGGGCACTAGGAAGGGGTGCAAAGTCTGGGAGGGAGCTGTGACCTGGGAGAAGGGGGTGCAGACTGCAGAGGGGTGGGTGGTGACTTGGGGCAGGGAATTGGATGCATGGTCTGGGAGGGTGTTTAGGTACAAGAAAGGATTCTGGCCTGAGGCAGGGATGGGTGTGGGTGGGTATGTATGTGTGGGGACGGCCCTCTCATCCGGCCCGTGGAGACCTTTTTGTCTGGCCCCGCCTTCTTCCGCGTGCCGGCGAGATTATCCCTGAGCTTGAGTCCGAGCATTGGTGTCAGCGGGAGAAACGGATTCGCAGGCGGCTGCGCGAGGCCCCAGCGCGCGCACGGGACAGCAGGTAGCCCAGGTCAGGGACGGCTCCGCGTGCCGCTTGGCCGGGCGGGCGAAAAAGGGGGGTCTCGAAGGCGGGCTCCGGATCAGACCCGGCGGCAGAGGATCGCGGGAGGCTGGACGGAGGGGAGGAAACCCGACGGTGGTTTCTCAGGGGCTAGGAGCGAGGGGCTACTTCTCCGGGGGCGGGGCTGAGGAGCTGGTGCCCATTGCAGGAGGCGGTCTGGTTGCTGTGGCACAGCCTCTGGGTGACGCTGTGCCGTGCCTAGCGCGCTGCCCTGGTCCCTGCAGTGCGCCCTGAAGAAACATCCCTCTCCCTTCCACGTCTGGTCTCTCTCATCCACAACCCAGAGCAGCACCGCCCTGCCGGGTATCAGTCTGTGGGAGCGTTGGGCACTGCTTTCCAACTTCCTTTACCAAGTGATAACGTGTCTGCTTTCAAACCAGCTTTTCCCATTAAAATGCATGCCCCTTGTTCCATGGGGCTATGTTACAAATTGTCACCTCATTCCCTGCATGATAGGAGAGCGATCACATCTCTTCAAGTGTGAGTGTCTTAGGCTGAACATATTGCCAGGATTATGTTGCTTACAATTTTCATCACATTGCGCAGGTGGAAATGAGTTCTCAGCAGTTTCCCCGTTCTGGAGCCCCTCCTGCAGGACTAGGACAAGCACCACCCCCAATTTCAAACAGTGATTTCTAAAGCCAGAAATGTCTGCTATTTTGGCATCCAGGAAACAATTTCACCATTCACACTAATACAGGTGTTCATGTGTAGTGTATCAATGTGTTATTAAATAATAACTGAATAAAATAATATTAAATAAATAATTAAAAACAACATCCATGTTTTGATTGTTTTTTATTTGGACCTCAAGTGTGTAGTCGGCCCCCGAACTGCTGTTTGATAGTTAATGCGGCCCTCGGGCTGAAAAGTTTGGAGACCCCTGCTCTAAAGGATTTATTAATGTAATTATACACACAAGTTTTATATTTCAGAGGAAAGGTGAATACTTTTGCTCTGCAGTTTGGAAGCCTATCTAATCTTGTATAAGAGAAATTCTAATCAACTTTAACAGTGTACAGCAGTGATCAAATCAGAACAAAATTTTGATGATCAGACCATAAACAGGATCATTGAGGGTACAGATTTCAGCTGCCAAAACAAGCCAAAAGGCCACCTGAGCTATTCAAGAGAGAAGCTGCAAGTTCTCAAACAGTTCAAATAAAACCATAGACTAGGAGAGAATTTTTGTAAGTTAGCATAATTAAGTGCATCACAACCTTCCTCTCCCATCCACATTACTTACATTCATCATAAAATCCATAAATTCTATTAATGCTGGCACATTCATGGTTCCCTCTAAGAAGGAAAAAATTCTCAGGATATTTGATTTTGTAGGCCAATAAGAGACAAATTGTTTCTAAAGACTGTTTTCCTCTATCAACGTAGTCACCAAGAAATAGATAGTTGCTTTCTGGCGGAAAACCTCCATATTCAAAGAGTCGAAGTAAGTCATAGTATTGTCCGTGAATGTCACCTAAAAACAAAGGCATTTATAAACAGTACATAAAGGAAGGCCTTCACTACAATCACTAACTTACTAATCAAATATGACTTGAGAAAAGTATTTCTGATATTTCATGTTTCACTCATGAAAAGCTACATGCTGCCCACCATAGATATCTGAAGAATCAAATAGTCTATTAGTATGAAAATTATGTACATTCAGCAGTATACAGATGCACTGAAGTTATAGCCCAGCAAGAATTTGCACTGAATGACTACAAAATTATATTTAAGAATTTTCATACATGTTTTTATACCTCAACCCAAAACTTAGAACTCTGTGTCCATTCCTGTAGTCTTTACTCAGGTGAACTCCTATGTGAGTTTTGCCTGAGAAGAGAGAGTCTATGATCAAGAGCTTTTATTTTGCTCTTAATACCTCCAGATGGCATCCATATGCAGCATTTTGAAATTAAAAGCTACAGATGTAAGCATTAGCAGATCTCTTAGATATAATCCTTAAGTACCATTTATAGAGGTGTGAAGAAAGTAACAAGATTATTTAAATTATAGCTGCAAAGTTGGCTTGGAAGTGAATGCTACTTTCACTTCTGGTCTTGATTTTTGTTTTAAATAGAGCATGCCCTACAATCATACTTATAAAGACTATTAGATTTTAAACCAGTTCCATTATAAATAAGAGATGAAAGGGTTACCCACCCTCTGCAGTAACTGATGTTCTCAGAGATGGGTCCCTGTGGGTGACCCACTTTAGGTGTTTTGGTGCCGCAGCACGCCTAGCCAGAAGATTTTAATAGCAGTGGCTTTGACAGCTAGCTTGCACATGTGCAAAAGCACTACACATGCTAGGCGGCCAATGCACATGCGCGAGATATGATCTCTTCAGTTCATTCTCTGCCCCAGGATAATATGGAACTAATACCGAAGCAGAGAAGAGGAAGGGTGGGTGGGTGGTGTAGCGCCCACAGGGACACCCATTTCAAAGAACATCAGTTACTGCAGAGGGTGGGTAACCCTCTCTTCTTTGAGGAGTGTCCCTGTGGGTGTGCCACCTTAGGTGACTACAAGTAGTTTATCTGCTGGAGGTGGGAGCTTCAGACGCTGTAGCGTCATTTGGGACCATGGTGAGGATTGTATGTCCAAACGCAGTTCCTCTGGACACATAGGAATCCAGAGCATAGTGAGCAACAAATGTATGAGTAAATGACCAGGTGGCCGATTTGCATATAATCGGACAGGGAGATGCCCTGTACATAGGCTGTTGATGCTGCCATGGCCCCGGTCGAATGTGCACAAAGTTGTGCAGGTGGCTCTTTGTCAAAAGTTGAATATGCTATTCTTATGCATTCAACTATCCATTTTGAGATCCTCTGGGAGGAGATGGGGAGTCCCTGGGATCGTTCAGTGGTTGATATGAATAGCCTGTTGGTTTTCTGAATTTGCTGGATGCTTTCCAAGCAGAATGCAATGGCCCTCCGTAAATCAAGTGTGTGGAGTGTGGCCTTCGTCGGGTTGGTGTGGGGTTTGGGGGGGGGGGGGGGGGGAGGAGGAGA